TTTAATCAAAATATCTTTACAAAATTCTTTTTAAAAAGTTTTATATATGCAAATCTAACTAAAGTCTGTATTTAATTAAGCCAAAATAAATGTTAAATTATTTTCTGTAAACTTTATTTTGTTATATTTTATAGCGTGTTTTTTTTTATGTTTCTTGCAAATATTTTGTTCAAAACAAAGTATTAAAAGGAAGTTATGCGTTTTTACGATGGCATCGTATATTTTACACTGCTCTGTTGTAAATTTAAAATTAGACCTGTGTTTTCTGTAAGAAGCATAGAAAGTAGTAGTTTTAGCATAGAAAGTAATAGTTTTAAAAGTAATTCTTCAACTCTACAAAGTAAACTGCAGAATTGATGTTAATAAACTTAATTAATGAAAGACATGCTGGAATCATTAATTGAATTTATAAAATTTAAAACAAGAAGTTTTTCTCCTTCATTAAGTTGTTGATAAAAAATATTTCAATATTGTGGTAATAGAAAGTAAATTTAGATATATCAAAGTGATCTCAAATCATACAAAAATATTACACCAGGTATAACAAAGTAGCTAGATATTTATAAATGAGCCAAAATTTTAATTTTTTTTCTGGTATATGACATTTACACAATATTTGAATCGATGATTTTGTGAACAGATGATAATAATGTCTATTTATAGATGTTAAATACATGCACACAACAATGGATTTCATTGAATTTTTCATCGACTTTTTCATTGATTTTTTCATCGACTTTTTTCATATACTTGAACAAACCAAACCAATTATACCTGGGGATGACTATCAGAAAATTACTAGTTGCCGAGTTCTTAGTGAGGCCTTTTACAGAAATATCTGGAGGTTTTTGAATTATTATAACGAGTATACTAAATAATGCAGTACACGCGTACGTCATCATTTCTAAACAAAATATCATAACTAAGAGATATTTTATGTTTTTTTTTTAAAGACGCTTTCTGAATCTCGTTTGGTTAGTGAATCTCGATTGGTTAGAAAATAAAAAATAAATCTCCTGGTTCGATTCTATAACACAATAGCCACAATAGCCTCACTAGCCTGAAGATCCCAGATTAACTAGCGATCAATATTCAATCAGGATAAAAATAATCTTATTATGTCCTGGTCCTAGCGGGAAGTAGGACCTAGCCCAAGTAACGGTTGATGGAGGTTGGTTGTGTTTGGTGGTTTGTGTTTGGTGGTTTGTGTTTGGTGGGTTGTGGTTGGTGGTTTGTGTTTGGTGGTTTGTGTTTGGTGGTTTGTGTTTGGTGGCTTGTGTTTGGTGGGTTGTGTTTGGTGATTTGTGTTTGGTGGTTTGTGTTTGGTGGTTTGTGAAATCTTTGCAGTCCCTAGAGCCGGCTCATGAAAAATCCGTCGTCTCCGTTATCTGGGGGTGGGGGTGGGGGATCTATGTCAAACTCCAGACCATCTGAAAGATAACACACATATATCATATCGTCTGCTGTTTAAGTTTGTGTTTTTAGATTTGTTTTAAATTCAGATGTATTTAATAATATCCGTAACACAAGTTCTTTACAAATACAACATAACTAGTTTGCAGAAGTTAAACATGCCTTTCGAAATTTTAAAGAAAACATTTGCATTAAATTCGAATACAATTTCTACAAATGAACCTTAGTATTTCCAACCACTACAAGATAACCTACCTGTGGAAGGCTTAGAAAACTTATCGATGGCGTCTTGTATTGTTTTGACGAGGATAAGGTCTTTAATTTTAGCTAATTTCAACTGTCGTCGGACTCGTTTCTGTAATCAAATAAATCATTTGTTTAAGTTTACGTTGTAGGCCCAGGACATTTAACAAAAAAATAAGTTGCAAGAATTAAGAACTCACCTGTGCTTGTGCAAGAATCAACTTCATCCCGTGGAATTCACATTCCACCATCAGCGACCTCAGAGCTTGAACCGCCGAAAAGTCCACGTTAGATATGTGCTCCATGTTCAGGATAATGTTGTGTGGCTTCTCCACTAAGACAAAGCAACATTCGGAAAACTAATTAACGCCTTTAAATAAATCTAAAAACAAAACGCTGAGTAAACAAGAACCATAGGTGCAATTAAAGCTTATTTTAATAAAAATTCAACCTCCCACAGTCTATTTTAAATATCACAAACACCACGTAGAACAAACTTCAACGGACCTAACACAGCCTACATGCCTAATGAATACACCCAGCCTACCCAACTTCCACACCCCTAACCTCCCATCCCGGTTAATCCCCCAACACAGCCCACGTAACCTCCCCGCCCCCAGCCCACCTAACCTCCCCACCCCAGCCCACTACCCACCTTCTAACGCCTTGTCCAGTGCCTTCATCTCCAGGAACTCAGCGCCAGGAAAATTCAGCCCGTGGGTGGGGGGGTAACGATAAAAAATCCTTGTTGACTCGAGAACTGAGGGTGGAAACAAATTTTACCTAAAATAAAACAATATTCTAGAACATCCACATCACCTGTCAAACAATATAAGTCACAGTCTTATGAAAAACAACTCTTTTGTCTCATAACATCATCACATTACTACTCATTATTTAAAAACAAAGGTATATAAAAGCATATATATATATATAATAATCAAAACATAAATAATTTTTTTTTCAACGAAAGCTGTAAACGTATTTTAAACCCATCATTTTTTAAATACACTTTGTGCTAGCTTAGCCTGAGAGCAAAATCATTTATCTGGCTAACAATTTAAACAAGCTGAAAACCCACAGTGTACGGAGTTGCCATATTGTACTCACCAGCATCTTCGGTCGTGCAATCGGGTACAGCAACATAAAAATGGACATTCCGATTCCAACAAATATTCCCCACTGTAAGAAAAATGTATTTTAAATTTCACAAAAATAAATAAAAATAAAACAAAAATAAAGGTCAAACTCAATTTATGTTCCGGTGTATGTATTTTAGAAACTACATCTATTTCAGTATAAGAAAAAAAAAACCACTTGATGTTGTACCTGTATTCCAATCACCAAGGTGCAGATGAATGTCAGTGCATAAGGTATTAGATCCATTTCTGTATTGTAGTAAAAAAAAAAAAGAAAACGTTTTCTAATAACAGTTTATGAAATTGTTCGATATAAAGTAACATAGGATGAGAAAGAAATGAAGATGATTGTATTTGATGAACAATATTACCCATTGCAGAGCAATAGTAAAATATGTTCTACACCGCAACGGTTTTTGTCGAAAAAAATGTATGACCCATGTTATGACCCATGTTATTAACCATGTTATGACCCATGTTATGACCCATGTTATGACATGTTATGACCCATGTTAAAATCCGTGTTATGAACCAAGTTAGAATCCATGTTATGACCCATGTTATGACCCATGTTATGACCCATGTTATGACCCATGTTATGACCCATGTTATGACCCATGTTATGACCCATGTTATGACCCATGTTATGACCCATGTTATGACCCATGTTAAAACCCGTGTTATGAACCAAGTTAGAATCCATGTTATGACCCATGTTATGACCCATGTTATGACCCATGTTATGACCCATGTTATGACCCATGTTATGACCCATGTTAAAACCCATGTTGTGACGCATGTTATGACCCATGCTATGACCCATGTTGTGACGCATGTTATGACCCATGCTATGACCCATGTTATGACCCATGTTATGACCCATGCTATGACCCATGTTATCACATGTTATGACAGGTAATTACCCATATCTTGACCTTTTTACAAAGCAAATTTGGTCCAGTTTGTGAGTCGCCTTGGACATTATTGTACTGTTATTGTGACCCACATTGTGACCCATGTGTGTTCATTTGACCCTTGTTATGATCCATATTGTAACTCCTGTTAAGGGGGGGAGGGGGGGGGGGGGAGACCTACTACTGTGATCCACGTTGTGAACTATGTTTGGTTCTATAGGCAACCATGTTGTGACCCATGTTCTGACCCAACGCGTAACTCATGGGGTGACCCGATTTTGTGACCCATGGTCTATGTGTCTATGTTTTGCCAATGCTTTGTTCCCCCATTCTGACCCACGTTCTGACCCGTGTTTCAACCCATATTGAAGTCACTCACTGTTGGCCTTGTAGATCATCTTGATAGTGTTAAAGTCCACCATGGCCAAGACAGCGGCTATGATGACGGCGGCCAGAGCACATTTGGGGATGTAGTAGAAGAGGGGGGTCAGGAAAAACAGGGAGATGATGACGATGATTCCAGTGAGGACACCACCAAGGGGGGTCTTGACACCACACTGGGCGTTGATGGCTGTCCTGGATACAAAGGAATACAGTTTTAGATAGTACAGCAAGTTTTCTTTCATCTTTATATAAAAATGGTTAATTAAAAAAAAAAAATTAAAAATTATTATTTTTACAACGGTCAGCGCAGCCTAGTTTTTAGTCAGTTTCCCATCAGAGCTTGTCCGAATTATTATTTTTTTTACCTCATTTTTGGGGCTGGCTAATTTATTTTCTGTCCAGTTTAGTTCTGTTAATGCCATGTTTAATTTCATTATATTATTATCTACCCTTTTACGTCAGCTGTAGTTACTATTCAGATTTATTTTCCTTAAGATATGATATACTGGGACCTGATAAACTTGACCAAGTGGCTTGAGGAACTTGACCAAATGACTTGAAAAACTTGAAACTGGTCCTATGAAATTTGACCCTGTGACCTGCTAAACTTGACCTACTGACCTGCAATATTTGTAACTGACCTGGAGAACGTCCCTGTGACTGTGTACCCCTGGAAGAAGGCCGTGATGATGTTCCCCACCCCATAGGAGTAGAGCTCTTGGGTGGGGTCCAGCTTGTACTGGTTGACTCGGGCTGAAAAACAGAGGCGGCTCCACGTTAGTTCACATGATGGGGTGGCTCACAGAGGTGTCACACAATTATGGGTCATGTTTTAAACTGCAATCTGACTGTAGTATATGCACAGAAGCAGATCTAAGTCATTATGCAATATAATCTGTGTATATGTACAGTGATGGATCTAAGTCATTATGCAATATAATCTGTGTATATGTACAGTGATGGATCTAAGTCATTATGCAATATAATCTGTGTAAATGTACAGTGCCGGATCTAAGTCATTATGCAATATAATCTGTGTATATGTTGGAGGGACACTACACATTTTTAATTTAACATGTTACGTAGCTCACCAAAATACTTCCCGACAGCCATCGCTTCAATTAGACATATGATGGGTATGATAATTATACCAGCTCCAAGTTTCTAAAAATAGAAAATAAAAATAAACTAGTTAAATATACAAAAGAGAAGAAAAATCTGACTTAAAGGCGTACTGATACAGAAAGTCAACATAAAGATGTATGTATTCAAACATAGATACCTAGATAGGCAGACACACGCTCACATACACCCACCCACACACAAACGCACACACACACAGACACACACACACACACACACATATATATATATATATATATATATATATATATATATATATATATATATATATATATATATATATATATATATATATATATATATATATATATATATATATATACACACACAAACAGACAGGCGACAGGGAAGGTCCTTACAGCAAACATTTCCGGTGTTGTTATGGTGACATTCCCCGTGTGTACGACAAAATCTGGGACCCTGACTGTGGGCATTCCCGGCCTGATTTTGCCCGTGGGGGTCAGGGAGTACACCCCCTGGGACTCTAGGATGGCCAGCACGGCTGATGCCAGAATGACAACAATGGCCGTCGAGCCTGAGAGAAACGAAAAAACAAGAACTCGAACATACTAATTGTCATCAATAGGAGATGACGTTTAGAATTAAGTTTCAACTATCTAAATTAAATCTTAACATTTTATAACTGAATTATTTTGTTATAAACGGAAATGGCAGCTAAATTTTAAAAAAACTAACATTTAAAAATATTATTACTTATCTACATATCTCAAAACGAATTTCTAATTTCAAAATAGTACTATGCATTTAAAATACAAAAAAATATTCAAAAATATTTAGAAATATGAAAAGGATTCGTTTCCTAATGAAATATTTGGTGTTGAATTTGCTAATTTGTTTTGTTAATTAATGAAGCCAATGACACGTACTAGCTCCGCAGATAAAGATACATTTCCTCAAGATCAAGGCCCCAGTGGATGGGGGCGTGTCGGGGTCGTCTTTCCACTTGATCTCTCTCAGCTTCTTCAGCAAGATGACCACAACGATACAGGTCATCCCCATGGTCAGGTCCCAGACACTAGAAGCACATGAGAACATTCAATCACACGAGGGAACTTTACAATCAAGCTATTCATTTTTTTTCATACCGTTAATATTTAAACTACAGTTAATTTATATCATTAATTATTTCATCTTTTGCAGCGTAAAATTCATGTTTAAATTAGTTAAATCAGAGAGCGACCAACAGTCTGGATTTTGAAATCGTGACTTTGAGGCTAGTAAGCTCGGTATTCTAATGCTAGAGCACGCCGTCCCAGATATTTTCTCCCCCCCCCCACCACGTCGACGGCAAAATGAAAATACATACTTTAATCAGTATCCACACCATCAGAATATTTAAGTGTTCCCACACTTCCGTGGTATATCTCGAAAAGCAACACTGCCGTCCTCTCTTAGCCATGACCAGCCGAGATTACTACAATAATCAGATTCTCAATATCTAAAAGTCTGTAATTCGCTTAGTGGTGTGGTAGCTAGTATTAAGTACCAGGTACCCCCCCTCAGTTTAAAACAGTCCAGTCTGTTATAGTGGTGACTTTAGAGGTGTCAGATACCCCCCCCCCCCCTTCTTCAGTTTAAAAACATTCCAACTTACTTGGTAGTGTGTAGTTTCCTGCAGATGTCAATTAAGCTCTCTATGAAGTCGTTAGGGATACCTTTCAAACCTAGCAATGTCTGAGTTTTAGAGACAGAAAAACAGTGGTAAAAAATTCGTTGTTATTATAAAAAGACTTTCATTTAAGTACAGTTATACAGGTTTTCTCAACTATAACATTTTTCACCTTAATTTGGCTGACGGCAATAGTAATAGCAGCAGCTGATGAGAAGGCGTTGATCACCGGGTAGGAAATGTAGCTGACAATGATACCTGCAGTGGAAATTACACACAATCTTTTTACCAGAGATATAGAACTACACAATGTAGTTGACGAGGGTAAGAACGGAACACACCAGAGATACTTAGCTAAAGTTCCAAACAAACAGCCTTACTAATGTACAGCCAAACAAAAGTAACTATTCCCGTTAATGAAGCTTAGATTATTTATACTTCCTGTTTTCAACCAAATTTAACGAAAGCTGGAGTAAAAAAAAATAATGTCATAGTAATCTTTTTAAATCGAAGTAAAAATACTTTAAACCTTTTTTTTTTTATAAATTAGGTAATAATTTAAAATGACATATTTAGTGACAATCTATAAAGCTTAAAAGACATTCTCACACTTTCTAAGGTTTAATACTAGATTACTACTTAACAAATTTACAAAACAATTATAACTTACCAAGTTTAAAAAACAAATTGTATCATACCAAGAGAAAATAAATAAATTGCAACTTACTAAGTTTTAAAAAACAAATTGCTACTTACCATGTTAAAAAAAACAAATTACCAAAGTTGAAAAAAAAACAAATTGCAACTTACCATGTTAGAAAAAACAAATTACCAAGTTTAAAAGAAAAGCTTACAGAATTGGAAAAAAAAATACAACTTACCAAGTTAAAAAAAACGAAAACTTACCAAGTTGGAAAAAAATACAACTTACCAAGTTAAAAAAAACGAAAACTTACCAAGTTTAAAAAAACAAACTTACCAAGTTTGAAAAAAAAAACTGACCAAGTTTAAAAAAAAAAAAAAAAAAACTTACCAAGTTTGAAAAAAAACTGACCAAGTTTGAAAAAACAACTTACCAAGTTTGAAAAAAAAATAACTTACCAAGTTTGAAAAAACAACTTACCAAGTTTGAAAAAAAAATAACTTACCAAGTTTGAAAACAAAAACTTACCAAGTTTGAAAAAGCCCATGAGACAAAAGATGACCCCCGTCGTGAGGGCTAAAAATATGGGCATGGTGGCGTCCTTCTCACCGTTAGGCAGGGTGGGGGAGATGGAGGTGGCAAACGATGCGGTGATGAGGGAGGCGATGGCGCTGGGCCCGAGGGTGATGTCTTTGGATGATCCCAAGATGCAGTAGACGAATGTACAGATGAAGGCGGAGTACAGGCCGTACTGACGACAGGAGAAGTAAGAAAAGTCGTAACGAAACAAGCGCATGGGGTTAGGTGGTAAAATTCAGTAGTAAACAAACAATTGGACAAAATATAAAAATTAATTTGAGATCACCATGATTACGTTTTTAATGTTTCATTTTAGATCTAAATATAATAGATATTTATACAGTACAAGTGTATACTATTATGTATTTCCTGTCCTATTCTATCTGATCCCATAGTCCTATAGAAGGGCTTGGCCGGGGCATTTTTCCGGTCCCCTTCTGCCCTCATTGAGTTTGCAAACGATAATCCGGTGTATAGCCTGATGTCATCCAGCCTTCTTCTTCTTCGTCCTCCCCCTATCTGGCACAGGAATGTCTCCAAAAAGACCGTTATGTCAGCTATTTGCCTCACAATTCTTTCGCAAATCTTCAAAAAAACTTTGACAACTATTTCGCGGATCTCCTTACTCGCTTTATTAATCGTGTTGGAAATATATAGAAGTCTGCGCAAACATTTCCAGAGCTAGTATCCGCCTCTGGAGGTCTGTATTGAGTGACCATGCCTCGCACCTATTAGGAAGACGGACGTAACTTGCGACCAGGATAAGTCAGTCCCGTCAAAGGTGCTTTTGCTTGCTACTGTTGTTTGGGCAGTGTGAGTACTTCTTGTCCAGATCCTCCGTCCGATAAAATAGCGTCTAGTATAGATCTTATCTAATCAGCATTTTATTACCAGTATATCTGACATTATAGCCTACCATTAATCGGTCACTATACGATTAATCTGTCATTATATAATTAATCTGTCCTTATACAATTTATTAGAGTAGTTTAGCATGACCTCAGCAAAATGTATGTTGGTAACGATGGTGGTATCTGGTGGTGTCTGGTGGTGTCTGGTGGTGTCTGGTGGTGTCTGGTGGTGTCTGGTGGTGTGTGGTGGTGTCTGGTGGTGTCTGGTGGTGTTATATAACTATTGTGTCACACGCTTAAAGCTTAAGTGAAATGTACACGAATTTAACAAAAACCTTAGTTTTTTCTTTCTAGGATTGTAATCGTGCACAAAAATCACATGAAATTGTGGCTGTTTTCATAGTTTTACATCTCAGTACTTCATCATATACGAAGTATAGGGGACTTATTTTAATCGGGCAAAAATTATAAATCCAGATTGATCAAAATTTCGGCTGTTTACGCATAATCAATACGGAAAAACTGGGCTTTGCAATTCTGTCTGTATGTTTGTGTGTGTGTATGTGTGTAAGTGTGTTTGTGTGTATGGATGTGTTAACAATAACTTGAGTACCGTTACAGTTAGGTTGATGACTTTTCACATTTAAGTATTACATCGAGTTTGTAGCTCTTTATCTAATTTTCAGCGATTTCCGGTAACCAGAAGCGGAACTTATTCTACTTTCGATTTTTCAAAAACCAATAACTTTAGTACTGCTTCAGATAGAGAAGACATTTCACATTTAAGTAAAATATGTAATTCTCAGTTTTCTGTCCCATTTTGAGTACTTTCCGGTTACCGGAAGTAGTACTATTTCCCTTCCTCAAAAAACGAATATGAATTTATAAAGTATTAATATTCCGCACTATTATACACACATTGTTTGCTGTTTATTTGGTGCGCAATTCTTTTTTCTACGAGATTCTATTCTAATTTAAAAAGTTTAAGTATTTAAAAATGGATTAAAAATCATGTCTATACCCCGGGCTGCCATCCCCCGTAGTGTTGATAAAACTTTAACCTAGGCCACTTACATGTGGAGGTAATCCTGCTATTCCAGCGTAGGCCAGACTCTGTGGGATAACGGTGAGGCCAACGGTCATGCCAGCGATGACGTCACATTGTAAGCTAAATAAGCTGAGGACGACACAAGCAGTGACAAAGTGTCAGGTAATAATGACACGTATAGGGATATCACCTTCTTTTAATAAGGGGTCATCCATTTCCCCCCTTCCGATCACATGCGTCCACTTTAGACACCCCCCCCCCCCATGCTAAACGACTTAGTATAGTTAGGCCCTACATGTTAAGTACTTGGTTTTGATTGAAAAAGTGATTGCCCATGGACGCTGTGTACCTCTCAATTTTACACACTATTTTTCCTAAAGATAGTCAGAGGTTGAAAGCAGTCAAAAATATTGTCATGTTACTTTTACTGAACCTTACGGATACTTCTCGCTACTCTAAGGTATAAATGGATGACCCCCTAAACGTATATTGGTCCTTAAAAGAAATTGACAAGATTGCATACTTATTTTATTTGATAATAAAGCTTGTAAAAACCAGTGACTATCTAAACACAACACAAATTTAAAAGCTTCCTTGCCATTGGGTAACCGTTTTATGATCCACAGCCTTCTCTTGATAATAATTGAGAATCTTACTTGTATTTGGGTAACCATTTTATGATGGGCAGCCGACTTTTGACGGTTTCAAATGAGAAGCAGCTCTTGAGGCAATCAACAGCCTGCTCTTTGATTGGCACTGGGGGTCTACTGAGAGGTTCGCCAAACTCGTAGTCTATTTCAAATTTTTCCTGGGGTGGGGCGCACTTGGCTGACCCGTTGATCCCGTTGGCGACAACCTGTGGGGTCATAAGGGATCATAGTAGGTTCATAGGCAACATGTGTAGGTTCATAGACATGCTGTGTAGGTTTATAGACAACCTGTGTAGGTTTATGGACAACCTGTGTAGGTTTATAGACAAGCTGTGTAGGTTTATAGACAACCTGTGTAGGTTTATGGACAACCTGTGTAGGTTTATAGACAAGCTGTGTAGGTTTATAGACAACCTGTGTAGATTTATGGACAACCTGTGTAGGTTTATAGACAACCTGTGTAGGTTTATGGACAACCTGTGTAGGTTTATGGAGAACCTGTGTAGGTTCATAGACAACCTGTGTAGGGTTAAAGCCAACCTGTGGAGTCACGTGTTAAGGGAACATAGTAGGTTCATAGGCAACATGTGTAGGTTTATAGACGATAAGTATAGGTTTATAGACAGCCCGTGTAGATTTATAGACGACATGTATAAGTGTATAGACAACTTTTGAATGTTTATAGACAACCCTTAGAAGTTAATAGACAACCTGTTTAGGTTTATAGACAGCATTAGGAGGTGTTTAGAAAATCCTTCGAGTAGTTGGAGAAGGGATCAAAGTTTAAGTAGGTTATATTTAAACTTTCTCTTCTGTTTTCGTTTCTCGCCACAAGGAAATGTTCACATAAGCAGATCAGCCTGAGGGTTAGTTTAATGGGCGTTTTCTCATTGTTTCTGGGTTTTTCTCTTGTTGTCTGGTGTTGTCCGGTGTTGTCTCGTGTTGTCTGGTGGTATCTGGTGGTATCTGGTGGTGTCTGGTGGTGTCTGGTGGTGTCTGGTGGTGTCTGGTGGTGTCTGGTGGTGTCTGGTGGTGTCTGGTGGTGTCTGGTGGTGTCTGGTGGTGTCTGGTGGTATCTGGTGGTGTCTGGTGGTGTCTGGTGGTGTCTGGTGGTGTGTGGTGGTGTCTGGTGGTGTCTGGTGGTGTCTGGTGGTGTCTGGTGGTGTGTGGTGGTGTCTGGTGGTGTCTGGTGGTGTCTGGTGGTGTCTGGTGGTGTCTGGTGGTGTCTGGTGGTGTCTCGTATTGTCTGGTGGTATCTGGTGGTGTCTCGTGTTGTCTGGTGTTATCTCGTGTTGTCTCGTGTTGTCTCGTGTTGTCTCGTGTTGTCTCTTGTTGTCTCGTGTTGTCTCGTGGTGTCTCGTGTTGTCTCGTGGTTTCTCGTGTTGTCTCGTGTTGTCTCGTGTTGTCTCTTGTTGTCTCGTGTTGTCTCGTGTTGTCTCGTGTTGTCTCGTGGTGTCTGGCGTTGTCTCGTGTTGTCTCGTGTTGTCTCGTGTTGTCTCGTGTTGTCTCGTGTTGTCTCGTGTTGTCTCGTGTTGTCTCTTGTTGTCTCGTGGTGTCTGGCGTTGTCTCGTGTTGTCTCGTGTTGTCTCGTGTTGTCTGGTGGTGTCTCGTGTTGTCTCGTGTTGTCTCGTGTTGTCTCATGTTGTTTCATGTTGTCTCGTGTTGTCTCATGCTGTCTCGTGTTGTCTCGTGGTGTCTCGTGGTGTGTCGTGGTGTCTCGTGTTGTTTCGTGTTGTCTCATGTTGTCTCGTGTTGTCTCGTGTTGTCTCATGTTGTCTCGTATAGTCTCGTGGTGTCTCGTGGTGTCTCGTGTTGTCTCGTGTTGTCTCGTGTTGTCTCGTGTTGTCTCATGTTGTCTCGTGTTTACATAGTTAGGTCCGGCGCCTAAACTCTTATTGCATTTTTTAACTAGGTGACAGTTATTGAAGCGGTTTTCGCAGATCAAAGTCTAACTTTATCACCTAGCATACCTTGTGTGTCGCGGCCAATCTCTTATAGAAGTGACACATTATATAAGACGGGCGGGGGGGGGGGGGACAAGACAAACAGAGAGAAACATCGTGACCTAAGTTAAGATTTTTAAATTGTTGTAAGCACCACGAAATTGTTTTCTTGCAATGAATTTAAAAAACTAAAAAAAAAAAAACTCTAATGACAAACAACTACATAATTCATATTTATTTTCTTAAAAAGTAACATAAACAGCAAAGTTAATCGCTATCTCAACTTAGCTTAACTTATTTGACAAAAATATCTATAGAAAAACAACGGTGACTCACAATGTAAATATACGTAAGTTAAATAATTTTACAAATTGTGTGCGCTTTGGGTGATAGCCAATTTCTTAAAACGCCATAGATTAAAAAAAAATGTGTTGACGGCCAAATATACAACAAGCGATGAACCATTTCTTTATATCTCTTCATAACAAATTCTCAACACGTTCTACAGTAGTGTCTCTTGACTTAAAAAACATGGACCCATAAGGCGGGTCTGTTTACTGCGCACTAGAACCACTGCGCACCTATGACGTTTTTAATGAGCGCGGTCCAGTATTAAATTTGCATTCATCAATCAGTACCGCCGCTCTCATCTCGCCGAACGTTCTGACGCGTAGGTCGCTTTTGAGTGGCCTGGCATAAGAAATTTATTTACGCTCTTACGCTTCAAAATAGACGCTCTCAAGAGACGTCAGTGTCATAGGCTACACCTGTAGCACATAGGCTGTTTGTACCGTGTAGCCAGGCTACAAATGCTACAGCTAATATTTACGTGACAATATTTCACTAATTCGCTCTATATGTACATATTCCCATTTTAGTAACACATACATACTGACACACATGAATAAACACACGTACACACAGACACACGCGCACACACGCACACATATATATGTGTTCATGACAAAATGGACAAGTGTCCATACTCTAATTATAGCACTTCAGATCCTAATTTCTCACAAATTATAGAGGAAGTGCCTTAAAGCTCAGTTGGTGTTACGTTACGCTGTGGTTGTAGATTTGTTTTGTCAAGATGCTATTATTTTTGCAGTGTTACAGCGTTCTTCAGTACATAAATAAACCGGGAGTGATCTCCCCTAAGCTTTATCAAAAATTCTTATATAACACTACGTGGGATGGCAACTCGGGATATGGACAATATTTTAAATCCATTTTAAATACTTACACTTTTTAAAATAGAAAAGAATCTCGTAGAAAAAAGAATTGCGCGCCAAGTGAACGCCAAACTGTGTATAATAGTGGGGAATATTGTTAGTACTTAAAAAATTCACATGCGTTTTTGAGAAATCGGAAATAGCGTAAATTACTACTTCCGGTTAACGGAAATTATTCAAAATTTGTCAGATGTCAGAGAATTAGATCTTTTACTTACATGTGAAATTTCATTTATCTTTCTGAAGATACTCAAGTTATAGGCTTTTGAAAAATTGAAAGTAGAAAAAGTTCCACTTTTGGTTATCGGAAATCGCTGAAAAGTTGATACAGATCTACAAATTTGATATAATACTTATATATGAAGTTTCATCAACCTAGCTGTAACGGTACCCAAGTTATTGTATTTACACACACATACACACACACACACACACAGACATACGGACAAGATTGCAAATCTATGTTTTTTCCGACTCAGGGAGGTGTAAAATGTCAAATCTCATTTTTTTCCACGATTACAGTACTTTCTCTATACATCGTATACGAGAAAGTAAATAAAAAAATCGAGATTTATGTCTAAGGACAAAAATTATAATGTCTTTTTTTCAAATTTGAATATTTTAAGAAGTGGTAATTTGATATCTTTTGGTTATCACTGAATTTACGTTGTACATAAATTCATATGTTGTTATTATTTAATTATACACAGCTATGGATTCAATCCAGCTTCAGATTCTTTGTAAATTGTATTTAACCCTTATAATTGTTCCCCCTTTGGATTTTTTTTTTATGGTTTTTGTACATATCAAACAACCCCATCACTTATTTGCCATCATGTAAACTATTATTAACATATCACTTGTATGTCAATTTTATTACTGTAAAATATGTTGTAATTTTTTATATGGAAAATAAAAGTATTCTTAATAAATGATTTTTGAATTTTGTTTTCTATCGCCAAGATGGAGGCTTATCAAATATAAAAAGCGTTACACTTGTAAAAAAAAACAGTATTTAATAACTAATAACAAAATACATAAATGATACATTTGCATGTACTTTGTTTATTTTATAATCTTAAAACTATTAATTTTTTTTGTTGTTGTTGATGAAAACCTTGCCAAAGTTCGGTTGGGTCGCGTTAGTTTACACCACGTGATTAATTAAGTTCCGTTACAGGTTTGTTCCAAAAAAACAAGTTATAACCCCTTGAAGGGATTTATTTCTTGACGTCATCTAGGCGGAAACATTTTTACAAAAACATTTTAGTTTACCACTACTCAACCTTACATTTTGTTTAGAATTTACACATTAGAGAATAGAGTTTAACAGTTTAGTTTACCACTACTCAACCTTACATTTTGTTTAGAATTTACACATTAGAGAATAGAGTTTAACAGTTTAGTTTACCACTACTCAACCTTACATCTTGTGTAGAATTTACACATTAGAGAATAGAGTTTAACATTTTAGTTTACCACTACTCAACCTTACATTTTGTGTAGAATTTACACATTAGAGAATAGAGTTTAACATTTTAGTTTACCACTACTCAACCTTACATTTTGTGTAGAATTTACACATTAGAGAATAGAGTTTAACATTTTAGTTTACCACTACTCAACCTTACATTTTGTGTAGAATTTACACATTAGAGAATAGAGTTTAACAGTTTAGTTTGACATTAAATAAATAATTGACACAAAATGAAACAGATTTAATTTTTGTCATCTGTGAGTTATGAGCTGTGCATTGCATTGTTCTTTATTTGCTAATTTAATTAATATAGGTCCCTGTATCGTGTAGGTGAAAAATAATATCGTGTATGTTGTTAGTATTGGGGGTCAGTTGATATGGTACATTGTCACGTGGCGTTACACGTGTACATCGTCACGTGATCTGTACAACTACACACACTCGACGAAATACGCACGTTAGGCAGATTTTTTTTTTTAAAAAGGAGACAACTGACAGTCAGACAATAAACTAATTAATTATCACTGTCAGTTTGACAACAATAGTTAGGG